CAATGGCATAACAACAGCCATAATTGGCAAAGACATGATAAAYACATATATTTATTTACTTTTAATAAAAGGAAAAAAAAAAAGACTTTAAAGTTGCTGTGTTACATGCATTTTTAACAGCATTCCTCTAGAAGCTGCATTGTAAGAAGCTGAATTGAGAAGTAGGTAATTAAAACTACACCCAAGCCTAAGCTGCATGAACACAGGTAATTGCAGATTAATATTCCACTGTAATACTTAATGCTGAGTTAAAGTTGCCATGGGAAACAAGCCTGAATTTCTTTACTTTTCAGCAACTCATGATCATCTTCAATAAAGGTTTTGGCAGGTGATTTCCAGTGCATTGAGCTTAACACAAAAACGGTGCAAGAAGAAAGCTGCTACATGGGGATGTCTAGCTAGAACTGGCAGGCACAGGCACACACACATCYTTTATCTGCCACTGGCTAAGATTGTGACAATGTCTGTTACTGTGTGAGACACCTTCTGCATTCCCATCCTGGCCTTCAGCTGGGATTGCTGTCTCCACAGAAAACCACGAGGAAAGCACACAGAGGGTACTTTGCAGCCTGCTTGCCAGCAGATCAGTGATCCCACCATCACCTCCTCCTGCAGCAAGTTTGTGATTTCAAGGACATACTCCTCCTACAAAATAGCTTCAGCTATGGCTCCCAAAGCAGCTTCCCTATCCTCTCTCTTGTCACCCTACACAGAGAGCTTGGCAGGCACTGCACATCTGCTGATATGGGGGAAATCAACATCCATTCCCATTACAAGATCAGTCTATAAATCACAGCACCTCAGGAGCAGAGACACATGACTCGGCTGTCCCTGCTGTGGGAACAAGATCATGGATAGAGCAGGACAGGCAGCTGTACAGATCATCACAGCCACTCCAGCACCTGCCCATGACTGCAAGCTGGAACTGCAAGATGGATGTTCAAGGGAAAACTCCTGTAATATCTCTTACAACAGCACTCAAGGAAATAGAGACTGAACCYGACATAACCTTCTCCAGCATTTATACTTAATATTATCTTACAGAAAGACTGGCTCCTATTTGTGAATACACTCCTGCCAATCACAGAATGTACTATGATCATCAAGATTTGTTTGTACACTTAAAAATAAATCAGTAACTGAACATCTGTTTAGTCACAGTGTCAGTGTTTATGGTCTTATGTTGAAAAGGTGAGTGATATTTTGTATTTATTAGTAATTAAAAATTCTCCTAAAATAACAATCTAAATGCATGCTAAACAGATTTAAAGTATCTAGGATATGCTAACAAAAAAAATCAAGATATTTTTGCATTTAAAAAGCACTGTTTAGGAGAACACAGGAAATATTGTCTGTAAACAATTTATTCTTCTGCTTCTGGTCACAGCCTTCTTCAGCAATGAGAAGATTTGAATATTTCATACTTTCCCTTTAYGGAGAGTTTAAAAGAGGTAAATTTCCAGTTCACAAATGATTATCAAATTTGAGTGAATCTGAAACACTGAACACAAGTACCTGAAAAAACTGACATGAGAAAAAGCAACCTTATCATTACCARAAGCTCATTTAGCAGCTTAGCAACTCCTAGATCCAGCTCCTTCTACCAGGTCAGAGGTCTGATACTCCTTTACACTTCCAGGCAGCAGACACATAAAGCTTGAATTTTATTTGATTTTCATTTAAGTGGCTTTAATAGATTAGAGATTAACATCATATATAGAAGGCTAATTTCAAAGTCAGCTTTGAACAGATCTCATTTCTACCTTCAGACTTTTRTATTTAAAACAAATCATTCCTTTTCATCCCCTCAGCTGAAGTTGAAGGCAAGATACTTGGCTTGCTGACTGAAAGAGGMACACCTTCTTACTGCATTAATAAAATAAGTTTACAGGCAGCCAGAGATCTGAGTTTGTGGAGCTGCTTAACACAGTCACTGAAAGCACTGACCACCATAAACACTGGTGGCTACAAGGACAAAGGGACAAAAGAGCAAGACTGTCACTTATTAATGCATCTTCTCATGATGCTAAAGCTCCGTATGTATCCAGCTCTACAGGCTGACAGTGTATAAAAGCAGAAGGTACTTATAAACKCTTACCAGACAGTAACAGAAAAAAACTCAGAGCTAAAAARTGAAACACACCACYACGGTTCAGGGTCCACCGACCTCCRCAGAATGACAGCTCCCAACTGACCCCAGTGGGCTTCGGATCACATTCCAAAGGCACAAGGTAAGCTTTAAAGAGATGCGAGAGGCCAGCCATAAACATCTCTTACTGCCAACCCCTAATAACCTTTGGCTGGCTAAAACACTACATGACACAGACTGTGCAGTTAAACCCCCCCCCCCCCCCCCTTCTTTTCTCTCTGGGATGGTCCCATTATTCATAAATACATCCAGAAAACCCATAAAGCTAAATGGTTTCTATGTGTATATAAACAAGCACTTTGATGGAGGCGTGTATCTTATGAAAGCTGTCAGAAGTCAGGGCTACAAGGATGCTCCAGCTCCTTTGGAGGAGGGAAACATGAAGAACCCTCGATGCCCAACCCAGGAGTGAGTGGTAAAGSACAGGGCAGCAGCCACAAGGCACTCAGCCAGCAGTCCCAGCCACTGGAGCCACAATGCAGATGGCTTCCCAGGGGAATACYACTGTCCTTGACCCTCCTTGATCCCCATTACGGAGGCCATGCCACAAGACCTCAGAGAGAGATCAGGCAATGTGAAAGGGAATGGAAATGAACRGGTCTTCAGGGCTCACGAATGAGCATGAAGGACTTCCCCAGGGATAAAGCCAGGTTACAGAGGAGCACGAGTAAATACAACAGGAGGGGGAGCAGATGTGGCAGYCACACATCTCAGTGTAGATAAAAAGATAGCTCTTTCAGGAGTTTCTTGTAAGAAGCCAGAATATTTTGAAGAACAGTTAGTGAGAAATGTGAAATGTGCTGTATGGTGGCAAGTGAGCTCTTGAAAGACTTTTAGGCTGAACTGGCTAAATTTACAGCRATGCCTACCTACTTAAAGTAATGTGAATCACAGCTTAGTTTAGCTCTGTATATGCAGCCTCCTCATCAAATACCAATGCATTTGAGTTTCATTGTATCTAGATTTCTATTTTGCATGTATTAAAATAAAAGCAGAAAAATTATCAGGATCACAGTGAACATCCCAGGTCTGACCTCAGACCAAACCTCCAAAACATATCAATCCCGCAAWGAAAGATCCTGTCACTAAAACTTTGCAGAAAACATCATTGAAATGCATGGCACAGTTTGCTCACCATGACATACAGCCYAGCAATGAAGAGGATAAAAGCCATGTGGTCAGCAAAGAGGGAAGAGGTAGGTAATGGCATCACCTAAGCTCATTTTATAAAGTTAGCCTTTCCAGCTACATTGAGCCCCATGYAGCAAAAGTAATTTCTTTATTTGTCAATCTAATTTGTTGGTGAGGATGYGAGGGACTGACAGCCCTTTCCACACAGTATATGATGCAGACAGGCACTGAACACAGCAGACTGCAAAAACAACACTGAAGAACGTCTCCACCTTAAAGGTGCTATCTCACCAACAAAATATATAGCAGATCTGCATTGGCCCAGACCATTACTTTCCCTGGCAAGGACTTAGGGACAAAGCTCCTTAAAACAGTAGTAATCATATTCCACTCATGCTCCTTTTTACTGCCAGCTGTAAACTAGCTCCACATGCATCATGGTTTTGCATCAAAATGTGCACAGACCAAACCCATATCCAAAGGGAGAAGGTAGATCCAATTTATAGCTTTGACAGGTCTGTGTACCCGAGGCGGAGCATGCAGGAAATAGCCTGACATCTCACTTGGAGAGCAGTTAAGAGCCTGCTTGCAGAACTGGATACAGAGCCACAACAGCCTCCCACAAAGAGCCAGCAAAAGAGCAGGGAATTTGCTATCCATTTTTCAAGAAACATGAAGGGCAGGCAGCACCCACCAAGGCACTGCTGGGGAAGAGAGGAGCCAAGTTCGATCCCAACTTGCAGCAGCCCTTTGTTAGGACAAGCGCAAGGGAAACCACGGCTGCAGTGGGAAATGAACACACTGCATTGAGTCACATCAGTAATGAGACACCACATTGAAAACTGCTTAAGCCTTTCATAAAGTTCAAACAAAGCTAAAGGAAGTTATTCTGACCCAATGCAGGTATTACCAGCAAAATGTGGAGACTACGTTTTGGCAGAGAAGGGTGAGTTCACTTYAGACTCAGAAATTGTTTGTTCACTATCACTAACCATAGAAAGCCTAATACTAGGGGKTTTTAATTTTTCGTACATTTTCACAGTTGAAAACCTAGGCCCATCCTACTGAAAACTGAGACTATTTTTACTAATCTGCTCTACACTGCTATGGAAGAACTGTCTGCAGGAAAAGCCCAGAACTTCATATGGATCTCTGTATCTGTCAACTGGTAGAGCATGGGAAGATCTCTCTGAAGCTGAACTCTTCCTCATTACACTCCAGAGTTAACACCCAGGGAAGATACCTGATCTTGTTGAAATTATCTAAAACCTGTTGTTCTTCTCTGCTTAGGAATACCATTATGTTGCACTTATTCCCATCATTCAAAATATTCTTTTCCTAAAGCTGTTCACTACCAACAGCATTTTTCCTTGCAGAAYCAAACATGGCTGCCATCTATTAATACAAGTTTGGAGCCAAAAACTTTTAGACCCTTCCCAGTTCAGTCAAATGACAAGTATACATGACTTAAYGATGTTTCCAATAACACATAAATTATCACTTCCTTGATGGAAATCAGACTTCTTTCATTACTATCAAACAGTCCTGGCATTGCTTCTGAAACAGCAGGTGACTGGCAAGAGCCCKGGAGAACCAGCAATAGAAAGCAGGTGAGCCAAATCAGAAAAAATTAGTGAGCCAGCCCTGTGCTTTTTCCTTTTACCTCTCACATGAGCAGCACCAACTTGCAAGGCAATAATTAACAGGATTAACTATTTACCTGAGGATGAATCTGCGGTTTATCACATGTAGCCTCAAAATCCAGCACTAAGAAGTAGTGATATCTCTGTGGAGGGAAGGATGACATTGCTGCCATGGAAGCTCCAAAGCCGTGGGACGCCAGTTTCTTGCTTACAATGGAGCTGAACCCTTTGAGAACACCAGCYGGGAGGAGGGGGGACACAGCTTGTCTTGCCCTTGAAAGTAAGTTTTGGAGAAACTTTGTTGCTCCAGTATGGAGAAGTGYTATCATTGAACATCCAGAGGCATCTGAAACTAAAGAGAGACTCACGTTACTCATGCACACATACATGTCATCTCTACTGGTATTTGTTCACTGTCCTCCTCTGTCCAGGATTTCCTTTGCGCTTCCCAATGAAGGTTCCAGCATCACAAACCTGAAATAACACAGTAACCTGCTCTAAGCACAACAGACAACATTTGGACTGAGCTGAAGGTGTCCAGAATCATAGGCAACTGAAAATTAACCTCTGCAAATAACTCTAAATTAAAAACTATGAGATACACAATAGTCATGGCTCCAGGCATCAGATCATACCCCACTGCTGAACATTATAGCAGAACACAACACAAACCAACTAAAACTTAGAAAATCTGATATAAGCCCCATTAAAACTTCTGAGGCCTTCCATCTTTTCATACAAACTGTAGCTTCAGTAATGTAGTAATTTGTAGTAAAATACAGTAATTCACATACCAACCCTACAACTCATACAAACACCTTGGCCCTGAAACATCTGTCAATTGCACCAAAACAGTACACCTCCATTACAAATCCAGGTGGCTGGTGACTGGAAGGCTCCTCCCAGGAAAGTTCTCATTTGCTCTGTATACGAGGTTTCTCATAGATGTGATTTTAGCACTACACTCCATTTCTCACTTCAGGTATTTCTTGGAGGAGCATATTAGTTCAACTAACCACACCCAGGGACTGCAGGAACTGTTAAGTGCAAGCAGGACTCTAGAGGTTACAGTCTTCCTCTCAAGGAATTACCTCACTCAGCTATCACATTTTGATGCTTCTATTTAATAMATGATATTTAATAAATTGCATTACCAATGTGAGACTACCCGGATTTCCCCTCCTATCCTTTTTCTTTTAAAACTTTGCAGGAAAAAATTGCCAGGATTGTCACTATCCAAGAAGGATCAGCCTCAGGGCTTTTGGTAGATCTACAGGGATGAGAGTTCAAGCCCAACTCATGTTGTTACAYAGCTGGGTACAGGGACCGATAACAAAACAAATTGCACCAACTCAGTCCTCCTGAATGAGGATGTCAGTGTGCCCTCTGTGCATGCATATATATATATATATATGTGTGTGTATACACACATATACATACATACATACATACACACTCGCACACACACACACATCTTGCTACACAGACATTTAAATCTATCCCCACAGTGTGAAGAAAGKGCTGGGCTCACCTAACCCAAGATCACAGTTGGTCCCACTGCTCGTGGCTCTGGGAAGCACTCCATCACATGACATGCCACCCACATGACTTTTTATGAGCACCTCCCCACACCTGTGCTGGCTTTTTGTCTGTTGTGAAGGGCTGGAAGGGCCCACCATGAGACAYGGAGACAAAATAGGCATGGCAAAATGAGGACTCTCTGCTCGTGAACAAAGTCACTGTTTGCACAAAAGACAGCATTTGCTCTCTCCCATCCGTTAGTCCGTCAGGTAAATAATGCACGTGCCAAAACACACACTTAATGAGGTAAATAATATGCCTTGAATAACGGCTAAATCTGTATTTACCTGCGAGACCAGAGAAACTCGGAAGGACCAGATTAGGAGATAATTGCAGCTAAGCAGGTTGTGTGCTTCGAGTAAACACGCATTTGGTAACCTTCCCTTTCCAAGGTTTTGAGTGAAAGGCAAAAATCAAAGGAGCCGAGATTTTTAAGACCGAGCCTGAACCCACACTGCCAATTCCATGGCATATATGCATCCTTAAGACTTCCATGTTTTGAAGCTGTTTGCTTTATTAAAGCCATGTGCCATGCAGCAGGTATCTTAAAAACTGAGAACTCAAATTGTAAAAACAAAAAAGTAGAGCCCAACATGGCCTTTAAAGGGGCTCAGTTCTACCTATTGCCTTTCCATCTACAGCTTTGGCTGTCACTCATAAATGCATTACAGCCAAATAGAAGTTAGTTATATTTACTTCTAAAATGTGCCAAATAAGAGGTATTTAAGGTATACACACTTTAAATCTTCAAGCTACTATGAATCTAAAGGCACATCACAACAAATATAATCTCTCAGAATAAAGCAGCTTGTAAATTAGTTACAGGAAAACCTGGTCTTTAGCCTACTGCAGAAAGTAAAACACACAGTTGGAGTCGGGGAGGCAGGCAGGCTTCAACCACTATATCAAACACAGGCAATAATAAAATCTATTATCCACCCACCCCCAGCAAGATCTCTAATGTATCTTAACTGGAAAGACCAGGGTATCTGACACGGACTCCACAAACAGCCTGGGTCACACTACACACACTGGTGCAGAGGTTCCTCAGCCACTGAGTCCACGTGGCAAAGGTAAATGAGCCCCCTGGGAAGGATTTGGGCACGTCTTTTCACAGCAACACCACACCAGACTCTGGGCATGGCAGGTGAGTGCCACACAGGCACCGTGTWACCTCAGCACAGGGAAATAACAGCCAACATCCAGTGCTTGTTTACACTAGCAACTTCTGCAGTGGTACATAGGATCTGCAATGGTCTAACAACAGGGTCAGGCTACCCATCCTAAAAGCAGCCTCTGTCCCCACTCTCCCATGTAGCACAGGGAGCAGTGCTCCAAACAAAGGTGCACGAGTGGGGTATTGCACACTGATCTCCCTACACAGGCAGCATACAAATAAGGGCAACCCCACTGCAAAATCTGCACCTTCAGCCAAATGAAGTTTTAACAGTATATTTACCCAGCCACTGCTCTGGGTGCCCTGGGAAGACCTCACATCATCTTCTTTGGCAAGGTCAGAGTGCCTCAGAGCACAAGATAACTGGTGAGCAAACACACTTTATTAGAAGTCATGTAAAGCATTTATAATGGCTATGACAATGCAAAGCACTAGTAATTATCCTGCATTTTTTCCAATAGACAATGATGCAAGCAATGCAGCTTCAAAAATTAAAAACCCAGCTCTAGCCATATAAATCCACATGTTCAGTAATTCCATTTCCAAACCTACATAAAACACCACATATATATTTCTTATACACACAGGATCAGATTATAATCTCAGACAGTGCAAGCTGTCACATCTGGCAGTCAACCCTACTAGGTTAATATTTCATATCACTCAGCTCAAATTCCTCACACAGATACGTATGAAATGTAATGGGACCATGAACTGAGGTTGGACCTCAGGAATTATTTTGACAGATTGTACACAGACCTAGGAAAATGTGACAGCACTTTACATTTGCTGCGTCCAGTAAGATGGGAAATGGCCATATGTGGTGGGTTTCAGCTGGAAGATAAAGTTTGCGTTCCTTGCTGTACAACAGCGTGTGCCCCATGTGACAGTACTGGCTAAAATCAGCATCTATATTTTAAATATATATATATTTTAAAAATGTTCTCTGGACATTAGCTGCAGGTACCAGGAAAAGCTCAGGGTGACCATAGCTCTTGCTTTTTYAGCAGTCCAAGCACATGGTACTAAAGCACGACAGTTTGATCACCAGTAAGGAAAGCCAAGAGAAAGGYAAGTGCCAGCTATAGCCACCAGCTTTGCCAGGGGCCCCACTGAGTGCGAAGCGGAGAATCTGCACTGGCGGCTGTTGCACACCAGGCTTCCTACTGGGAAAGTTGCATAGGGACAACCAAAGTGGCAAGGAACAAGACACAGAACTCCTGCCACGTGAAGAATGCTGGTGACAAGAGCCAGCAGTGCATTGCAASTGCTGTCCCCTGCCTGCAGGACAGCCCCAAAGCCACAGAGAGATGTGTAGCACACAAGCTCCAGAAGATTCAAACTCAATGGCAAGACAAATTAGCCTACGAACTTGAGCTTAATGGCTCCTGGCATGTAACATAAATATGAACTTTTTACAACTACATCTAATTAAAATTACAGTTTGCCTTTAAGCCCAAAATATCCCYTTTCACTGTCCAGTTTGATTAGCTGAGTAGGGAGGGGTCAGGAAGACAAYACCTAACTTCACATTGGAGGGCTGACATGTGAAATTATATTTTATGAGAGCCTTCACCTTACATGTTAAATTACTTTGTTATGGCAAGACAGCCCTGCATCCTGTTACCAAATAAACAAACAAACAAAAAATAAAAAATAACACCCCCCCCCCACCAATGTAAACTACAAGACAAACTGAAATTAAAAAATAACAGCAAGCAAGCTCTKGGAGTAAAATGCTTCAGTTTATTATTTTTGCAAAGCCTGGGAAGGGGCAACTGTGACTCCTGACCTCCAACAGACAACTGAACTCAAGGCTAGAGCAACCAGAACCAATCAAAAATGTTAAGTCAGGTTTGTCTATTTTATTAAATTATAGAGGGAAAAAAGTTAGGGTAATAGAGATGCTTTCTGCAGAACAAAATTGYATACATTTAGCAACACCTGGAACACAGTATAACAAAAAATGCAGGACTTCAATTTTGGTAGCTGCTCAAATACATATTCAGAGGTCAAATGTGAGCCCRTATTTCACTTGTGTGAAGACATAACTGAAGAACAATAGAGATAACTCATGCTTTTTTTTTAATCAACCTTAACCTAAACCCAAATATTTCATTAGATGAACTACAGTCCAAAAATGATAGCACCTGGCTAGCCTGTGAGGCAGGAAACAAGAGACTATGAACAAGACYAGCTTATCCACTCTCACCATTCAAACTTGCAAAAAAAAAATACATAAAGTAAAACAAATAACAAAAGACAAAGCTTTCAGAACTGTTTAATGAAGTAACACAATTTTAGACAGGTAAATTTGCTTCTTTAATTTGTTAACCTCACAGCATCATCACTTAAACATGAGAACAGTACACTTCCATGGCTGCACTCCCTTCACGTTTGGCTGGGTTTGTCTCCAGCACTGCAAGACAACCACGCCTGTGTTTTGGAAAATTTGTAATGTCATGGCATGTCTATATGCTGCCCCATCATTACTCAGCTCACATACAACTTGGCATCCATCATTTTGTTTTTACAGCACTCCACAATTGCACCCAGGCTCTTCCCACTACAGATGAGGAGGTCCCTGTTCTCAAGAACTTACAGTCTAAAATTAGAACCAATACAAGT